GCGTGAGATGCAAACAACATTTGTAATCGTTGCTCGACCCGTATTGTTCCATACCGTATATTTCCACACGATATCGCTGTGAAATCTCATCTGAAGGAAGGACACCTGCAGTGGAGAAAAGGTTTGTAATGATTACACACATTGCTGCTACATTTGACACTATTTTTTACACACGGATCAATAGTTTTTGTATGTATCACTATATGGTTCGCTGTAAACTGAGACATGCGTGCAAGCTTAATATAGCTATACATTGTTATAGAATGTCTCTATGAATACACAATACACTCGCTAGGTGGCGCTAGTAGATCATATGAAAGACTGAGTGCCTGTATATTATACTATATAACAGGGCGCGAAATTAGCACTGGCCCACCGGCATATGCCGGAAAATTATTTGGAGGGCCAGTAACATTGGCCAAATTAACACCGGCCCTCCGAGCCGGTGGTTTCAGCCAAGTTAGCGAGTACCTACATTTTTATTTATAGCATTAATGAGTAAATAGGCTACATTACTGTTTTACCTGAAGGATATCATGCCATAATTTTATCAACATTTTACAAATTTGAAATCGAGAATGCAAGCGTGAAACATGACATTGATTTTACAAACAAAATGTGTGAGGGTTAGTAAATTATGGTGAGGGCTGGTAAAAAATTGCTGTTACCAGCCCTCTGGGCCAGTGCAAAATAATCTGAATTTCGTGCCCTGATAAACATTTTGATCATTATTCTCCTTTAAAAAAATTGTGGTAAACAGTAATTGTTAGTTACTGTGTTAACGTTCAAAGTCGCCACAAAACCATGTATTTTTTTAAAATTCCTTTAGGTGTCTATTGCCACAGCTGAACATTAACAGCTAGAATAATGTTGCCCCGTATAAAATTTACACATACACTGTCTTATATTATACGCATTGAACAACGAGCAAGTACGCTGTCCGCATGATAAATCAATTGATACTACACCAACTTAAGTCAGGTTTGTGTTACTTATTAGCCTTTCAAGTTATCACAGTTAAAAACTTTGACCACATATACACAGAGACCAGATTCTGTTAACGTGTCTATTGAACGCAAGAGATCTCGCGAGAGAGAAGCCCGTCACATCGTGACGAAATCCGATGTTAATTAGGTAACCGATTAAGCTGATTAATTCGTGGCAGACACTATAATTTTGTATAAGAATTTACCCAAGCATCATTCTTGAATTCGCAGTGTCCCTTTATGCCGGTATTATGCTGCGTGCTGATAACGATTCCTATAGGGCTCCTTGGGTGGTGGATGCAACGACTGGCAATCATACGATCCTGCGACCTCAGCTCCCTAAACAAAGCATAGGATCGACATTCAATAACAGAATTAGAAAGAATACCTGATACACTGATACAAGTACAACGTCTTAGCAGTAAAATTTAGCTACGTACTATTAGCAGGAGTCGAGAAGATGAGATTTGATGAAAGCAGGGTACTTCAACAATGAAAGGGTTAGAGACAGGACTATCGGGCATGCTGACAGGCCTACGTGTCTGCTCTCTTTAGCAATTGTTTAATCGAAGAATTACTTGCAGCGTGGTTTAGCATATGCCTCGCACTCAGGTGGGGAAACCCTAGGCTGAACCGAATGACCCGGGATGAAAACCCCATCTCTCCACAGCACAAGCTAGTCCTCTGCAATTCACTGCTACCTCTACTAAATACCGTTTTGTCTAATACTTACGTTGTGTAGCTGTGGTCACTGAAGGCAGCGTCCAGTTGATCCTGATTGTATTCGGAGGAATTTTGAGATCGCGGCGCGCTCCGCTTATACTTGATGTGATCGCACACGTCAGAGATCATGCGTTTTGCGCTTGGCAGCTTCTCTCTTCTTTCTGCGGCGCCGCGTCGAATACGTTGCAGCGATCGACATCTGTCGCAGCGCCACCGATGGCTGCTTCCTGATTGGGACTTCAAAGGGTTCATTGCAAAAATATTGCTCAGACACGCGCAATCTGAAAAAATGTAGCGAAATATAGTCAGTTAACAGCTTTGATTACGTGCGTGTCAGGTGTCACTGGTCGTGCCCTCACTCCCCACGATAACCCCTGCGATATATATAAACTTAATATTATTGTTTTGCGGTCATAAAAACACTGTCAGGAGGACCGGCATTTTCGTAGAGATGGTGGCCCGAGCAAAAACTCCGGGTCGGAACTAATTTCGAACGCTGCCGGCGGCACGGGAGCGATTTTTTCTCGTATCTTCCAAAATTGTCGCTCTCGTAATTGTTGTGTAGCGTTTTACGTGTCTTTCCTCGACACCAGGGGGCACCACCTGACAGTACGCAGTAACTAGCAGTTTACCTCACGTATAGTGCAGTGCAACACGGTGGATA